ACAGTAGTGTGTGTGTTTCCTCTTAAGTCTGATACCATTTTCTACACTTTCTAAGAAAAAGTCTGGTAGGGTTTCTATAGCCTCTTTCACAGCCATGTTCCTAGCACTATATGGGCATTTTATTTCTAAAATGCCTGTTGCACCGTGGTCACAAACACGTCCATCTGGGGTGGCTCCTAGGAATGGAAATGCTGGGTTGATAACAAGTCCACAATCATGTACATGACTTCCAGTCTTGTTAATATACTTTTGCTTTGCTGAAGATTCCTTCTTAATTCCATACTGTGTTGCACTCACATTCAATGATTTACTTGAAAAAAGTTTGTCCAAATATTTATTGTTGATGATTTTCCTTCTTAAAATCTCATGAAATTTCGATGCTGTAAGCCTTTTTCTTCTCTGTTGAAGCCAGAGCTCACAGTTACTTTGGTGGCGAGTGTTAACTTCGATTTCTGTTGCTTTAGCTTGAGATATCATGATGTCTTCAGGAATGGGTGTGTAATTGTCTGGCAGGGTTATGGGTGGATTTTTGGGCAAAACTAATTCTCCACAATCTACACTGACTTCTTTATTTTCCGTCCTGTTTTCGTAGAACATTGCCTGAAATATTATTTAAAAAATGTATGTCACTATAATAGTACATAATTTGTAGATTATATAGGACAATGAATTTAAAATCTATGAAAAAGACATGGATGGACTTATTACCAGGTATGGGCTTATTGCATGATAAATACGGTAGTTTAAATCATGGAAAATGCATTTTTACATGTGCATAAATGTACATGTGACATCACCAACTGACAAGACTGTGAAAGATTATATTTTACATTAATTTTGTTAATTTTCTGATTTCAGGGGTAGATCCCGTGGAGGTTTCAGAACTAGTGGCAGAAAATCGCCAGCATAGACAGGATCTTGCTTCATCAGCCATAACAGCAGAAAATCAGCAAAGAAATTTTTCTAGCAGTGGAGTACAGACAGACAAACAAAGAAATCAATTTGATTTTGAGGAACTCCGAAAGAGTGAAAAACAATTCAGATATTATACTGGATTCTCAACAAAACAATTTGATGCAGTATACAAGTTTTTAGTACCAGATGGAGACTATCCAATAAACTTGCCTTCTAACAGACAGAAAGAAATAATGTGCATAACATTGGAAAATCAGCTACTGTTAGTGATCATGAAACTGAGACATGACTTTGACTATGTGGACCTTGGCTACAGATTTGGTGCTAGCAAGCAAACTGTGAGCATTCTATTTACACACTGGATCAACTACATGTTTTTAAGGTGTGGTGAAGTTTCCATTTGGCCACCAAGAGACACGATTTTTCAACACATGCCACAAAACTACCAACAGGACTTCCCAACTACTTTTGCCATTTTCGATTGTACAGAAATGAAAATTTGCAAACCCTCATCTTTGTCTGCACAATCACAAACATTTTCAGACTATAAATCAACAAATACATTAAAGAGTCTTGTAGCATGTGACCCAAGGGGATCTATCATATATGCATCAATGTTGTTTGCTGGATCCATGTCAGACAAGGAGATATTTAAACAATCTGGGTGCAAGGATATGTTGAAAGAACTTGTAAAGGAGGGATATTTGAAGGAGGGAGATGGTGTAATGGCCGACAAAGGATTCAACATCCATTCTGAAGTGGAAGAGTGTGGCTTGAAACTAAACATTCCGCCTTTTGCACGAAGTGGAGTGCAAATGACAAAGCATGATGCTTTACATACAAAGAAAATAGCAGCACATCGTGTACATGTTGAAAGAGCAATTGCTCGCATCAAACGTTTCCAAATTGTGGCCAGGCGTGTGCCACTTAGTTTATACACCAGCATCAATCAAATCTGGTATGTCTGTGCATTCCTGTCAAATTTCTTTAATCCCTGTATTCAGGACAAATAAATTTAACAACATTACCTGTGTGCTAAGTCCACTACCAATTGGAACTGCTCCAAACATTGTGTTGACTGTTTTTTTGGGTCGGGTAACAAGGTAGCTGATAGGCAAGTCTGTCCATGCTTTCAAATTGTCTATGTCTTCTCTAGTTACTGTTTTAATTCTGCAAATAAATGACCAGAATAACTGATGATGTGTATAATGAGGAATTGATGATGATTATGTTATAATGTATATGTCTTTGTATAAATGTATGGAAAATAAAAGAGATGCAAAAGAATTAACTATTTTATTATACCTGGTATATATATATATATATATATAATTGATATTGATTTCATGTTTAAGATGTATGTAAAATTATGATTTTCTACCAAATATTTATTTCAGCTGCATGACTTTGTGTATTATACTTATTTACATAAAATGAAGATAACCATGATGGAATTACATACCTGCAGTCTATGACTTTGTTTTGTAGTGGTTTCTGCTTTCTGTCTGATTTGGGTTGTATCACAGTAATGTGGGGAACAGACCTCGGTGTGATTTTTGGACCTCTGGGGATACTCCACTGCTGAGGAAGACTTGTGCTTGACAACTCACTAGGAATATCAGATAATCCCATCAATTGCCAATTTTGAAGTGCCTGGATTAGTCCAACGATATGGGAACAGCAACCACTAGCTCTGAAATTTATCAATTTAGTCCAAATTTGAAATACACATGCAAACTGGTTATAACATATTATTGCTTACAAGTACAAAAAGTAGGCACTAAAACTAAATATTAGGGGGGACAAACACACAGGTCAATCCTGTCTATAAAAATGACAGAGCAACAATGCCTTTTATATTTAAGTGTACCTTATACAGAGGTCAATTTATATAGTAAGTTGAACTGAATGGATTTGTGGAGTCTTTCTAGACAAATATCCTTTTCATACAGTTATTCTTAATACCAATGGTGATTTTATGTCTACGCACTTTCATAAATGAGTGAATAAAATGCTAAAAACCACAACTGTAAATGCTGTAGGCTTATAAACATGAAAGTTTTTATTTTGATTCAGTTCATTTTTTTAAGAGTTCCATTTAAGGAAAAGTGTCATTGATCAATGTCTAGCAAATTATAAAAACTTTTTGAACATTGTGATGGGAACCTGGAAGAGAGAGAGAGAGGAAGGGGGTAATAAATCATTGTTTGTTGAAATATAAAGTCAAAATATGACGTGCGACTATACTTTTGGCCAGTGACTGTAAATAACAATCCTGTGTAGACCATTCACACCTGATCGACTTTAGTCTAGTATACACTGTTATATAACTTGACACTGACAGAAGTACGCACTTCAAAAGAAACAAATGCGCGTACCCTCGCGACTAGCCTACAGGTGGTCGACGAGGATAATTTACCTGTGTTTTAGACGCTACGAAAAGGTGGCAAATTAATACAAATACTCAGTTGTAGGTAGATATGTGGAGATCACTTACAGTACATTAGACCTACAATATATTAATATAAATGTAATCACACATCGCCGATATCGGGCCTTGGTCAACACAAATAATTGTAAAATCAATCTATTATCGTGCATAAATATTTTGAAATAAATATTAATACAATACCCTGCAACACATGTACAATCCGACAATGTTATCCTCCCAGGTATAATATCCAAATGCAGTAGGTGCGGCTGGTCATTTTTCTTCTGACTCCTGAAGCATCTCGCGGAGACTTGAAGTTCGTCAAGATTTCTGTTTTTCGCGATGCTTACTCTCTCTAAATATCCCTCCGCGAAGTATTTGTATCCCTGCTGTTTGGACTTTAAGCTTATCGTTACTTCCTTTAGGTAATTTAGCGAAAAATCATGCGGTAAATCCTGCAAGGTTGCTACGTGCGTCTTCTCAGCATCCGCCATCTTGTCTCAGTGACTGGATTGCTTGACGGACGTAGCAACAGTAGTCATGGCCATAGAAAGTGGGTGGAGCTACGGAGCGATTGGCGATGGGTCAATTGCAAAATATACCAGTACTTATGTAGCCAATTTTCATTCCAAAACGTCCATCTAACGAGCTGATGAAATCAGGGTAAAGCGATATTCATGACATGTTGTTGAGGTAAAGGGCTATAACTAAGGAAAAATTAGCTTGACCTGCTTCATTTCAGGTATACGTCGAATTCCAGCCCAACATCCATCATGAAAACCATTTGTGAGAAAATGAATGAACACTAATAAATATGAACTTCCTCGAAGTGCAAAGGTTATAATTCTGAAAAATATGTTGATTGGAGCCAGGGACGTTATATTTGTTGGAGTCAAATAGAAATTTGATCTCATTTTCTCAATTTCTTCTTTCAGCTTTATCAATTCCCCCACTCAATTCAGACAAAATAATGAGTGCCCCGATTTTTGTTTTTGTTTGTTTGTTGTTGTTGTTTGTTTGGTTTTTTTTTTCTTCTTTCTTCTTTTTTTAAACGAATACTGAACAAACACCGTTCGTACTATGAAATTAAGTGCTTTAGACATGTAATCAAATGTCATGATGAAAATTTCGGAGTATCATTCTTTTTAAAAAAAACCGGTCACGTGGCAAATGTAAAGAAGGCATGGCTGTAGGAAAGTGGCGGGGCGCCCCTCTTTGGTGCCATTAAGGAAAACGGACACTTCGTTCTTGGTCAAGCGTGGTAGTGTCCGGCGAGAGACCGCAGAGTCCGTGTCCCAGCGGGAATAGTACTGTACTTTCGCTTTCCTCATTACTGTTTCTTATTGCACGTGCACCTTACAGTTTCTAATTAATTAACTGTGGATTAAAATTGTTATCACAACTGTGAATCATTGCTTTTTTGTTTTGCGAAATCTTAAAAAAGTCATTGCTGAACTCTATTATTATCATCTGATACTGGTTTACAAGGACTGTTACGGTACAGTGATTGGCGAAGGAGTGAATAACAAACGTCGCCCTTATTGGTTGATTGGATGTAAACAGGCGGGAGTTGTGAACGAAGCGTTTTGCGCCAAAGTTGCATCGGTGTGGAGTCTTCTGTTTAGGCGGTGTTTGGTAAACCTAGTCAGCAAAAATGATTGGAATTCAACAGCTGAATTTGGGTGAGAAAAACATTTATATTGATGAAGAACAGTTTTCACTTGAACCGATGATTGAAAGAGCCCCGTCGATATTGCACTAACAGAAATTTTTGTTTGCACATTGCCATGTTTCCATAAAAAGCGTCGGAAAAGATATGTTTTTGTGACAGTTTAATAGAGCTGAAAACGATAAAAATGTACTAGACTTTACGCAGATCTAACTTCTATTCTCCTCGTGACCACTCTCGAAATCATTGGATACGGCATAAAATACAATTTCAACCAAAAGTTTGAACGTGCCAATATAATCTAGGCAATGCTTTATTTCTTTCCCCGACGTGCACGCGAAAAAGTATAGGCCCAACTCTTTGTAAAATTTAAAACACTTGATGGAAATATTTTAAATCCGTTTTTCAGTTTACACTGATGCGGTTATTTACTTATCTGCGATTTAATATGTTTTTCTTTCTTTTTGTAGAAAATCGGGAGAGATGCCGCGCTATTGTAAACGGGCCTCAAACAAAAGACTCTATCACTGTAAGGCTATATTTAGATAATGCTAACAAAGTCACGCAATAAAAACATTTTTTGTACAAATTTGTGATTCAAAAAGTTGAAAGATGTCAGATAAGAAAGTCGCCATTTATTTTCTCATATTTTCATTAATTTAAAAAGTTATGATCATTGCTTTTTTTATTGAGTGTACAATTTCTGCTAGAATTTGTCGATTACTTATAAAGGCCACGCTACACAGTTGTGGCGAAGACGAAAAAGTTTCACGTGTAGATGTGTCTGAAAAATGAAAATAACAATAAATTATTGGATTGGATATCATATGATAGATAGAATTTATATCGGTGTAATTTGGGAGTTCTTTTATATATTTTTTATCACAAGCAATTAAGTTGAACAGTATATCAGATTATTTTTTCAAAAACGAAATATTTCATTTATTATTCCAAGTTATAGCAAATGGCAAAAATCCTCAGGATTTTTTTTACATTCATCTGAGAAAAACTTGTCATAAACATATTACATGTATGCCATAAAAAAAATCATTTTTATATATTTACATGAAAGCATTGCTGACATGGTAATAAATGTTACAGGTGGCAGTAGAGGGAAACATAGGGAGTGGCAAGTCTACATTCCTGCAGTACTTTAAAAAGTTCCCAGAAGTTGAGGTATTTATTCCAACAATATTGTTTAATATGTTTTACAAGTTCAATAAAGAATGGAAGCTGTTATTGACTTAAAAAAAATTCCGAGAAGTCTTGTAGTTAAAACTGTAAAATATTTACATTCTTATTTTGTATTATGGTCAACAGAGACAAATAAATATTTAGTCTATAAAGTTGAATATGCAAACTCAAATGATACAATATTCTGAAATCATTATGCCCTGTGACTTTATAAACTTGAGCATTCAATAGATTGAGGATTTGGTTGTTTATGAACAGGTTATACCGGAACCAGTCAGTAAATGGAAGGATGTGGATGGTTATAACACTCTAGTAAGTTAGATGTTGTACTGTTAAGCAATAAATACCAGCAAACTGCTTTTAAATCAGAACCCAAAATAATATTGAATATTTATAGAAAACATGGATTTTATTGACACAGTAAAGTTCCATTTTCTCCAAATTTTGACATTTAAACCATACGATGGTTAAACTTGCTATGAAATCAAGAAAGGTGATTTTAAATTTGTTTATCTGTCAAATAAGTAAGCTCCAACGATTGAAATTTTCTAAATATGAGTTTAGTTTAGTTTTTTTTTTTTTTTTATGGAGCCTTTCTGTGTTTGGAGAAAAAATATCACTTAGAAAGGATATCTTCCAAAGTAAAAGTAAGTTTTGGGAATTATGAATAAATATCATGTATTCATTGGTAGGATTAAGGTTCTTTATCAGCTCCACAGGAATCTGCAGAACAAGATACAATTCTTGGTAATATTTCATGTTGTTTGAACTAGTGTATACTATAAAGCGGCTATTCCCAGAAAATTCATAGAAATTATATAACACATAGCTCATGAATTTGTTATATAACATGGTCTGACTTTGGTTGATAGGATCTGATGTACAAGGATGCCTCTCGTTGGAGCCTTGCCTTCCAGTCTTATGTACAACTTACCATGGCAGAGGGCCATAGACAGAACAAGGTTTGTATTTCAACCCAATATTGAATATAAATTAGAAATCATATGTTGGGGAAAAAATATGAATTTTTTCAATTTTTTTTTTTTTTTTTGTTACATTCACTTGCATTACCAACATTTAAGAAACATTTCTATTGTATTTTTGTAATTGATGATATAACTAGAAATGACTGCTGGTGCTTTTCCAGAGGTTCAGCACTCCTCTATTTCAAGTCAGGGTTTGCACAAAGTATCTTACATATAGGGTCCTTTTCAGATTAAATGGAGTCCTCTGTGCTTTAAATTGCTATATGTAATATCAGTGCTTCTGAATGTTATAGGAACATCTAAATGCAACCACTGGTTTTGTATATATAGCCCACAGTCAGAGGGTTGTGACCACCATCCTCCCTCTTGTTCATTTTTGTTAAGACTATAAGCCAAACACTTGCTATTCTCATGAAAATTTATATATGATGTAGATGATAACTTGGGGTCTTTAGGATGAGGGTAACAGTATATAGAATACTCCATGGACAAGTATATATGATTGAGATGATATCGCGGGTCTTTAGAATGAGGGTATCAGTATTTAAAATACTTGATGGAAAATTATTTACAATGTAGGTGATATCTCGGGTTATCTGTATGTAAAACAGTTTTGGCTAGGTTATCAACAGTAAACTTTGCAGGTTAATCATTATTTTATATGTTTCAGAATAAAAGTGTGAAAATGATGGAAAGATCACTATTCAGCGCCAGAAACTGCTTTGTAGAAAATCTATACAGAGGGTAAGGCTACTTTATTTTAAACTGAATAACTTACCTTTCAAAAAAACTGAGTTGTAATGACGTTGCGTCTTGGATTAAAATTGCTTTCCTTGTAGATGTTTTGCATGCGTAAAACTTTTTATAGACTTTGCTGTGAAAAAGTTTTGGATAGGCACAAAATATAAAAATAGGTAGATCTGCCAGAAACATGTTTTATTTGGCCCTATTGGCAGTCAATCATTTGGATTATATATATATATATACTACATCCACATTTCTGCTAAACCAATTCAAAGTCTACATATTATTATCACTTTGTTACTGATATCTGCAACTGATTTTATGTTTAGTGGTCTGATGCCTGAAGTCGACTACGCCATCCTGTCAGAGTTCTATGGATGGATTACAAAAAACGAGGACACCAATGTTGATCTGATTGGTAAGTTGCTGTGTGGTTTGTCCAAATACTGTTTTAAAACAACACAAACATGATTTTTGCTTTGATTTTCTTTTTATAGGGTGTCTGTTATCTCGGGAAAACCATGTTCTTCGTCTCCCCATTTTTGGTGGGGGCCTTATTCAAAAGCAATCCCACCGTTCAAAAAACAAGTATAAGAGTTGTGTAATTGGGAATTGAGCCCATAGTTTGTCCCAAATTCTGCAGTAAAAGCCAGGTGTAAAAATAACACGAAACAGTTCTTTCAGGTGTCAACTTGTAATAAATTGATTTGTACAAAAACACTCCTGTGAAATGGTTTATCTGTCTCCTGTATTTAGGTAATGGTATAGCCGGCATTGGATAACTGTCACACAGCATGCTAAACATTTACAAACAGTTGATAACCCTATATACCACAAAATTTGTACTGTGTCTCATCAGTATAATGTGAATGGATGGAGTGTCTTACTTTCATGTCCAGATTATGGCATTTCATTGTGACAGCACTATAAAAACATCTTGTCAACAGCCCTATCATTTCACCCTGGCCGTTGCTATTGGCAGAGAAAATACCTTGTTCTGTTGCTTATGGCAATGTAAATACATTGCTCTGTCTATGACCTTGCAAGTGCAATATTTTACGATCGTGAATTTCCATTTTCAGTATACTTGCGTGCAGATCCTGAGGTGTGTCAACGCAGGATCCAGTTACGAAACAGGGAAGAGGAGAAAGGCGTCCCAATTGTAAGATTAGCTTCTATTCACCTATATCTATCAGACTTATTAAGGTTGTGCTTTTCTAACTCGCATAAATTATATTGAGTAGTCAGTTTTTTGTGTACTTGTGAGTTCTAGCAGTGACCTGTACATTTCTGGTTCATATCTTTTATGATCTTGTTACCTGAAATTGCCAAACTTTAATTAGATACAAATATACCTTGGTACTTTTGAAATTGGAGTGCTTTATACCCATCTTAAACTAGGTACATTTTGTTAATGTCTTCTGTAAGCTGGTTCCCACACCATTCTATTCAGATCTGTGACGTCACTCTGGGAGAGTGATGCCTTTAAAAAAATGAAATAGATATATGTCCTGGCTTGATGTTTATCACACCTGCTTCCAAATGATTGTAGAGATGCTGCAGTTATCAGGTTATTGGGGAGAGAATTTCAGTAATTTACTATTTGTAACTAAAGGTGCACATTTGTCATCAAATTCACAATGAGAATGCTGAAATCATGACCTCATAAACTTTTGTTCTTGCAAATCTGAAGTAGTTTTGCATCTTAAAATTGATGTGTCAACGTCTTACTACATGTAGTAACAGATTTGATATGGACTTTGTCAAGAGAACGGGCAGTGGGCTATTCGGTCAATACAGCATTTGCGTAGAAAACTGCGGGTGAAGATTTTAGGTGCATGATTTATAGCTCCCTGCCTGTGATTGTTGGTATTTCTCTGGAAGCTGAGAAACAGACCTATTTGTGCTGTCATGGTTTTGTCCTGGGTACTTTACCTTAATTGCTTTTAATGGCATACTGGTCTTCCCTTATGTTTAGTGATGTAGCCATCATATACTACAAGACTCCGTTGTAAGCAGGGCGATAAACCCAACCAACAAAATTGTCCAGAAGTTGTTCCCAAATTTGACTAATTTGATTTGAAGAATTTTAAGAATTTCCTAACATTTGACTTACAGTTGACAATTTTGATTGTAGGAGTACCTAAAGTCACTTCATGCCCTACATGAAGACTGGCTTATAGACCAGAACAAATTCAAACTTCCTGCCCCTCTCCTGGTAAGTCAGATGCTATCCTCTTCTGGTATAGATAAAATGATTAATGTTTTAATTGATAAAACATTGTAATTAAATACTACATGTTGTGTTCATTTTGATCGGGACAATCTTGGTAGGGGACCAATGAACCTTGGGCCTCTCAGAACTGAAAATAACCCCTCCAGATTTCCCATTTACTTTAAATTTTCCATAGGAAAACCCACCTTATTGTAAATATACATATTTGAGCAGTTATTCTATTTGGCACATTTCATGTTAAAAATATTCCACTAAAATATAATTACGATAATTGCATTTTTTTTATATATATATATCATTAAAAATTTCAGTTGTTGTGAATGTGCAAATTCCTCAATGTATGCAAAATTGATGTTTTGCAGCGAAATGATTTTATTGACCTTTTTTTTTTTTTTTTTTTTGAAAATGTCCTATTCTCATTTCCCAGAATTTCCCTGTTTTAATGTTTTGCAACTACTGTGTATGAAACCACTTGAATATTAACCCTGCCCCTCTCCACTATGTTGGAAACCACTGAATATCCTGTACGGTGATCTTGAAGTCACTGCTGTGTTAAAAAAAAAGGTTTAGAACTGGTGACATTGACATAATTTTCAAATATTTATCGTAATCTTTTCATGCAATAAATAATATTTCATTGGCTTGGGATGAGCATATATCATTCCACTGTGCAGTATACTTATATACATAGCAGTGACTCAAGAAAAAGTGCATAGATACTTTTGCTATTAAAATGAACTTCTCCAGTCCTTGAATATCCTAAAATCATGAAGATAAACAGAAATTTCACATTTTCCTTAATTTATGTACATATATTACTTTCTTCCATGTTGATGCTTTACCATTTATGATAACTTCTGCAGCCATTGAATATTCTAAGCTAAAAACAAACTTTTCTATTTCATTGTGGAATATTTTTACACGTTAAGTATTTCTGTTTTCACCGGGTAAATACTTCTTAAGATTCCAGTTATCATTCAGTTAATTAGAAATGTTATGATTTCTTCTGAAATTCTTTTTCAGGTAATTGATGCCAACCATGATATAAACGACTTGTATATGAAATTTGACGAAGCCAAAGAAGAGATATTTGCTAAATTGTCATGATAATTAAATTGTTCTTGGTTTTTAATTCATTTAAATTATGAATGTCACAACAATCATTGAGATTTTTTTCTGTTTCTCTGATATTTCATTTATAATATATTATGAATGATTAACATGTACTAGAAAGAATTTTGCATTTTTGAAATGAAATATGAACATATGATTGTGTTTTTAAAGAAAACAAATTTGCCTTTGTATAACAATCATATTTTTACAATGAATCACTGCAATGGAACCAAATGGTGTGATGTTTTTGGATAAAAAAATTTAAATACATATATATATCACAAATATCTGAGTAGAAATATTTAGAATCACACATTTTTTTTTATCTTTTTTTTTTAATTAAACATTTTTTAAATGTATATTAGATGTTTGAAAAATCACAAGATAAACAGAAATTTTACGTGAAAACTTTGAAGATAAACACTAATTTCATATTTCCCATAATTCATGAATACTGGTATGTTGATGCTTTAGCATTTATGGTAATTTTTTCAAAATTAAAAATGCAAATTGCGTAAGTTCATGAACACTCATCCATGGAAATTTACAGAACAGCTGCATCAAATTAATTCCTATATGAATCAGAATTAGGATTATTAATTTGTCCCATTTTTGGTTAATGTTGATCAAATGCTGGTTGTCAGCATGTGGTATTATATTGTGGGAACCAGACTAATATAGACCAATGGAACCTTTTTTGTCTTGACTTGCCTGTGACAAGTTTAATATGACTGGGTTTTTTTTTTTTTATTATTATTTTTATTGCAATCAGGGATTAAGTAAGTCTTTTATAAAAATGTGATAGTTTTGCTATGGTTTTTGTAATTTTTTTTTTTTTTTAACATCAACTACTTGGTTTAGAAGAGATCAATTAATCATTATAACATAAACCCTTTAACAAATAACTAATTTTGTATTTACATCATTGTGTCATTAGTTTGAATGCTATTTGTAATGGGTCATGGGTCAAGTTTGCAGGGAAGAGGATGGTTTGTACAGCAATCTGATGCACTGCTCTAGATTTGCTTTTGTTTTATCAACAAAATCAATAACTATTGTATAATTTAATGTTTTCATTTTTTTATTTATGTAAATATTTTTTACGTATATTTTATAAAATTGTACATCAGATTTTAATAGGTTGACCATGTCCGATTATTTGTTAGTTCGTACAATTTTCTTTTCAAACAAATCTTCATCAGATATATTTTTGATACACAATAACTGCCACCAGATTCTAAGTTTCAGATTTGAATATAATCTTATCAACACAGATTCTTACAGGTGTAGTAATTAAATCATCATCATCATCATCATCATCATCATCATCATCATCATCATCATCATCATCATCATCATCATCATCATCATCATCATCATCTCCAAACATCATCATCTCCAAACATCATCATCATCTCCAAACATCATTTCTGTACATCATCATCTCTGTACCATCATCTCCATACATCATCATCTCCAATCATCATCATCTCCAAACATCATCATCTCCAAACATCATCATCTCCATACATAATCATCTCCGTACATCATCATCTTCATACATCATCATCTCTGTACCATCATCTCCATACATCACATCTCCGTACATCATCATCTCCGTACATCATCATCTCCATACATCATCATCTCCGTACATCATCATCATCTCCATACATCATCATCATCTCCAAACATCATTTCTGTACATCATCATCTCTGTACCATCATCTCCATACATCATATCTCCATACATCATCATCTCCATACATCATCACTCCGTACATCATCATCCCGTACATCATCATCTCCAAACATCATCATCTCCATACATCATCATCTCTGTACCATCATCTCCATACATCACATCTCCATACATCATCATCTCCAAACATCGTCATCTCCAAACATCATCATCTTTGTTCATCATCATCTCCATACATAATCATCTCCGTACATCATCATCTTCATACATCATCATCTCTGTACCATCATCTCCATACATCACATCTCCGTACATCATCATCTCCATACATCACATCTCCGTACATCATCATCTCCGTACATCATCATCATATCCATACATCATCAATCCGTACATCATCATCTCCATACATCATCTCCGTACATCATCATCTTCATACATCATCATCTCTGTACCATCATCTCCATACATCACATCTCCGTACATCATCATCTCCATACATCATCATCTTCATACATCATCATCTCGATACACCATCATCTCCGTACATCATCATCTCCATACATTACCTCCGTACATCATCATCTTTGTACATAATCATATCTGTACATCATCATCTCCTTACATCATCTTCATACATCATCATCTCTGTACATCATCATCCCTGTACATCATCATCTTTGTACATCATCATCTCCATACATCATCATCTCTGTACATCATCATCTCCGTACATCATCATCTCTATACATCATCATCCCTGTACATCATCATCTCCATACATCATCATCTCCGTACATCATTATCTCCGTATCTCTGTACATCATCATCTCGTACATCACCTCGTACATCATCTCCATACATCATCATCTCTGTACCATCATCTCCATACATCACATCTCCATACATCATCATCTCCAAACATCGTCATCTCCATACATCACATCTCCATACATCATCATCTCCAAACATCGTCATCTCCAAACATCATCATCTTTGTTCATCATCATCTCCATACATAATCATCTCCGTACATCATCATCTTCATACATCATCATCTCTGTACCATCATCTCCATACATCACATCTCCGTACATCATCATCTCCATACATCACATCTCCGTACATCATCATCTCCGTACATCATCATCATATCCATACATCATCAATCCGTACATCATCATCTCCATACATCATCTCCGTACATCATCATCTTCATACATCATCATCTCTGTACCATCATCTCCATACATCACATCTCCGTACATCATCATCTCCATACATCATCATCTTCATACATCATCATCTCGATACACCATCATCTCCGTACATCATCATCTCCATACATTACCTCCGTACGTCATCATCTTTGTACATAATCATATCTGTACATCATCATCTCCTTACATCATCTTCATACATCATCATCTCTGTACATCATTATCTCTGTACATCATCATCTCCGTACATCATCATCTCTGTACATCATCATCTCCATACATCATCATCTCTGTACATCATCATCTCCATACATCATCTTCTCTGTACATCATCATCTCCGTACATCATCATCTCTGTACATCATCATCTCCGTACATCATCATCTCTGTACATCATCATCTCCATACATCATCATCTCTGTACATCATCATCTCCATACATCATCATCTCTGTACATCATCATCTCCGTACATCATCATCTCTGTACATCATCATCTCCGTACATCATCATCTCCGTACATCATCATCTCTGTACATCATCATCTCCGTACATCATCATCTCTGTACATCATCATCTCCGTACATCATCATCTCTATACATCATCATCCCTGTACATCATCATCCCTGTACATCATCATCTCCATACATCATCATCTCCAAACATCATCATCTCCATACATCATCTCCGTACATCATCTTCATACATCATCATCTCCGTATATCATCATCCATCTCCATACATCATCATCTCCTAACATCATCATCTCCATACATCATCACTCCGTACATCATCATCCCGTACATCATCTCCAAACATCATCATCTCCATACATCAACATCTCCTAACATCATCATCTGTGTACATCATCATCTCCATACATCATCATCTGTGTACATCATCATCTCCGTACATCATCATCATATCCATACATCATCAATCCGTGCATCATCATCTCCGTACATCATCATCTCCTAACATCATCATCTGTGTACATCATCATCTCCGTACATCATCATCATATCCATACATCATCAATCCGTACATCATCATCTCCATACATCATCATCTCCGTACATCATCTTCATACATCATCATCTCCGTACATCATCATCTCTGTACATCATCATCTCCGTATATCATCATCCATCTCCATACATCATCTCCAAACATCATCATCTCCATACATCATAATCTCCGTACATCATCATCTCCATACATCATCTCTGTACATCATCATCTCCGTATATCATCATCCATCTCCATACATCATCTCCAAACATCATCATCTCTATACATCATCATCTCCGTACATCATCATCTCCATACATCATCTCCATACATCATCATCTCCGTACATCATCATCTCCATACATCATCTCTGTACATCATCATATCCATACATCATCACTACATACATCATCTCCAAACATCATCATCTCCGTACATCATCATCTCCATACATCATCATCTCTGTACATCATCATCTCCGTACATCATCTCCAAACATCATCATCTCCGTACATCATCTCCAAACATCATCATCCCTGTACATCATCATCTCCATACATCATCATCTCTGTACATCATCATCTCCATACATCATCATCTCTGTACATCATCATCTCCATACATCATCATCTCCATACATCATCATCATCTTTGTACATCATCATATCCATACATCATCATCTCCAAACATCATCATATCCATACATCATCATCTCCATACATCATCTCCAAACATCATCATCCCTGTACATCATCATCTCCATACATCATCATCATCTTTGTACATCATCATATCCATACATCATCATCTCCAAACATCATCATCTCCATACATCATCTCTATACATCATCATCTCCGTACATCCTCATCTCCAAACATCATCATCATCTTTGTACATCATCATATCCATACATCATCACTACGTACATCATCTCCAAATATCATCATCTCCATACATCATCACTACGTACATCATCTCCAAACATCATCATCTCCGTACATCATAATCTCCGTACATCATCATCTCCGTACATCATCATCTCCATACATCATAATCTCC